TGTTAAAATATTACTATCCTTAGCAGTGTGGAGACAGTTGCTGACCTGAATCATTGCTTCCTAGGACGTAGACAAATGAGTAAGTGATATAATTGGGTGCTGTTGTTTTTAACAGTCTGACTTAGGGGAACAGACTAGCTTTAATAGGTATATTTTTTACATAGCACTTCTAAACATGCAAAGCATTTTCACATACACTTCTTCATCTAATTGTTGTTTTTTCTTCATCTAATTGTTATTCATCCAGTGGTGCAGGTATTGCTATTCCCATTTTGCAGAAGAGGAAACTAAGGCTTCTAGACACAGACCCAGCTCTTCCAACTCCAACTAAGTGGTCTGTTTCTCTCTCTCTCTCTCTCTCTCTCTCTCTCTCTCACTTTAGTCTTTCTTTTAAATTGAATTTATTAGGTGACATTGGTTCATAAAAGCATACAGGTTTCAAGTGTACAACTCAACAGAACATCATCTGCACACTGCATCGTGCGCCCATTGCCCAAAGCAAAGTCTCTTACTGTCCCCACTTATCCCCCCTTTGTCCACCTCCCTTACCCCCACCTGCTTTTCCTCTGGTTATCACCACACTATTGTCTGTGTCTATGATATATATATATATACATATATATATATATATATACACACATACATACACTAGAGGCCTGGTGTATGAAATTCATACATGGGTAGGGTCTGGCCAGTGATCAGGACTGATCTGTAGAGCGACCAGCAAGGGGATTGGAGGGTCCCTGCTGGCACCCGCCTTGGCCAGCCTGGGGCCTGCGGGCTGGGGGCAGCTCCTGCATTGAGCATCTTCCCCCTGGTGGTCAGTGTGTGTCATAGTGACCGGTCGTTCCACTGATCATTTGGCCGTTCGGTCAATTTGCGTATTAGGCTTTTAATATATAAGATGTGTGTGTGTGTGTGTGTGTGTGTGTGTGTGTGTGTGTGTATGTGCGTGTTTGCTTAATCCCTTCACTTTCTTTCATTTAGCCCTCTAACCACCCTCCCCCATGCCTAAACATCAAGGCCTCTCCTTTTTTCCAAGCTTATCAGTTTTATTGTGGGGATTTTCCCAGTTTGCCTTATGGAGGGGTCCCACCCTAGTTATGGGGAAGTACTTAAAAGTTGTTCAGTTGACAGAACTTACAGTATCAGAATGAGAAAGGGCTGTGGAGACCATTTTTAATCACCTTATTTACCAATAAGAAGACTGAGGCCCACAGAGGGAGCTGACCTGTCTACATTCCCAAGGTTGGATTTACAACTGTCCATGCCAAACCTGTGACGAGGAGCAGAGCTGACTTCCACAATCAAAGCAAAGGGGAGAATTAAGGTCAGGACTTGGCTAGTATCAGTTCCCATCCTGGACTTGTTTGATAAAATAAAAGGATCATATATGAAATATTAGGTGGAAGGCAGCTTGGAGATAATCTGGTATAATCCTTTAGTTTTGTAGGTGACAAAAATGAGGCCCAGAAAGGCAAAATGAGCCCCTGATTAGGGACTTGAACACAGGTCTCCTAGTTCCCAGTCACTGACCCCACCTGTGATCTCAGCTGTGCACCATATACCCAGCTTGTCAGAGACAGTCCGACATACAATTTCCAGATACAGGTACCTGACTCAGCCCTGGCTTTGCCTTGGCAATGGCAATTGGGCATCAGCTCTCGGCTTGGATGATGTGTTCCCAGAGCAACATGGCGAGTGTGAGCTGCCAACTTTGAAGTCTCAGGGAATGTAGTGTTGAGCCAGTTAAACATCCAGAAATGCCCTGTCTCTCAGAAACAAGGATGACTCATCAGAGTGCTTGAACTATGACTGGGAACAGCATTAGAGTGGCCAGGGGGGCTAAAAACCCATGCACAGAAGCCTCTGGCTTCCCTCTCTCTGGCCCTTTGTTCACAACTCTCTTCTCCAATCCACAGCCAACACACACATCACTCAGAAGCCAAACCTCCCCCTCTCTGAAGCCTTCCTTGACTGTTCAAGCCCAGAGGAGGTCTTTTACATCTTGAGAATCTGCTCTATACAATTTGGCACTTGAATTATACACTCTTTATTGCTTCTTTTTACCTGGTTTGAGTGTTTCATAGCCAACACAGATTGCAAATTCTCTGAGGGGCATAAGTAAGCTTCTTCCTCTGTACCCTATAGTGCATCTCGGAATGTCCCAAAGAGCAGAGACATGCTCAGGCTCACAGCTACTCCTGCCTTCAAGACTCTTTCCCATTTACCTTGTTTGCTCAATAAATGCTCAATAAATCCTCACTTGTTTCACTGCGGCTTCAACCTTTTCAAAGATAGAGTTCAGCAGCCAGCACCTCTGTTAGCCCATGCCAACCCTCTGCAAATTAGAGAAAAGGCCACCTTCCTCCAGGCAGACCTGGCCCTGCAAGACTGGGCTAAGGGAGTATGGGATGGACTTCAGTCCCTCGGCTAGGCACCCCATGCAGTGAGCCACCTGTACCATCTGGGTGCTGGCTCCTCATGAAGGCACAGCAAACTGCCCTCCCCAAGATCCTCCAACCCCCATTCTGACCAGGAAGGTCTTACCTGGGAAAGCTGGCATCTCTGTTTTCCAGCCCCCTCCCTGTCAAAACCAAACAAAAATGTACACCTTCAATAGCTCCTTGATACTAGAGCCTGAAGTATCTGCCAGCAGGGCATTGGGAGCCCCCTATAATAATGTCCCAACCTTCCTTTCTTCCACTGCCCAGAACGCACCATGAATTGTCCTCCTTCCATAATTTTGCTTTCCCTCAGCCTAGAGTGTCCTTGCCTACTGATCTTTGTGTCAGGTCCCTACTCCCCTTTTCAAATCCCATCACAAATGTACCTCCTCCCTAATGTCTCAGTCATCATAACTTGGTCTTCCTGGGGCTTCTTCCCACCCCTGGCTCTCTTGCCTTTCACATTGCTTTGACCTCTATTACCACCCTTTCCCCACATGTCATTAGTGTGTCACCTAGGGGCCTGCTGTCTTTAAGCCATCTGTCCATACAGGCTTCTCTGTACTCACCCAGTATAAATCCACATGCTGAATCCTAAGTTCCCCAAAAGAATCCACTCATGAGCAAATTGAGGGACAATATTGCCTTTACAAATGATTTCTTTCATAGGAGACTGGAGAACAGAGACTTCATAGCTCTTCTTGCCCCCTCAGCAAACTATTTTTTGCAAGTATTCCTGTTCTCCAAATCCTTGCTTGGCAGCCCTGTTCTGGGAGTTTCTCTCTCATTACTCTTCAATATGCTCCCAGCCAAGTCAAGTCTCCACACTCTATCTCTGTGTGTCTTCTCTATTCCTCCCATTCAACTTCCCTCCTGTTTTAATAGGCAGAACAATTCAATGTCGCCCCAACCCCTACCTGCAAGCATGCATCTCCAAATGCATCAAGATGCTCAGCTAAATATAGGCTCTCCCTCCCTTTCTCCTTCTTTAGAAGGAGTCAAGACTAGACAGGGCAAGAACGTTTTTCTTGTGACATGTGAGTGTTTTCCTCCACAGAGAATGTAAGTTTAGAAATCGAGGATCGTGTGTTCCACATCTACCCAACCAGCACCATGAAAATACATCAATTAAGGCCATGACCAGCTTTCTCCTCTACCAGGGACAGAGGCTGTTCTAAGCCCTTTCTGTCTCTCTGTTCCTCTTTCCTCCCAAGTAAGGCCCAGGACTACAGTCAGGGAAAGTGAAGACATAGTTGGAGCTTAATAGGTAGCTGTGAAATGAAGAAGTCAGCAAGTGAAAGGGAAATAAGGAAAGGTAGAAGAGCTTTGACAGCCCCCTCAGCAGGATTTTTTCAGTCTAGCTACAGGGAGCTTTGAGCACCAACCCAGGGTGACAGAATGAGATGTGAATAGTGGATGGTAGCATGAAGTGTGAACACAGGGTTCTAGTGTTGGCTCTGCCTCCATTGCCGTTTGGAACCTTGGGGAAATCTCTGAGCCCCAACTCCTCATCTGTTCCATTAGTCTGCCTGCAAATGACCCAATATGGACACTTACCATCAGGGTCCTTGGAGACGTTTGACATTCATGTTGGAGGCTTCTTCCCCAAATGCCCAGACACCCAAGGCCCCTTGGCGCCTCTGCATCTGCAGAAAGCTTTTCTTGGCTGTAGTCCTGACTCGGGGACCTTCGCTGCCTGCTGGTGGAAAAGAATCCTCAGCTGTGGAAACTGGTAAACTACATATTTTACAGATGAGAGTCCAAATTCCTGATGACTCTAAATGTGGTGTGCAATGGACAGAAGTCATCCCACTGGTGTGACTTCCTGCTGGTGTCACCACCACCACTACTGCCCCATGTGGACATGCACGTCATGGAAAGACAAGAAGCAGCAAGTCACTGGTGTCTTGGCCAATGCTGGCTCTCACCCATTACCCCTCACCCCAGTGCCTATTCTGTGCTTGTCTACATTTTAAAAAATAAGATGTGGTCTATTTGCTGTGCAAGAAAACAGTTCATGGGTCATCTAACAGCAAAGAAGAAGAAACGAACAAGCCCCAGTCTCTGAGATCTGATCTGGCCTCCAGTCCCCACGCTCTCTGAAGAGGGGGTAACTTTTCATATTGAACAGCCACCAGTCCCTTGCCACCAAGGTCAGCGATGTCAGACATTTGGAGGCTGGAGATACGCAGTTCCAGGGAAGCAGAGAGAACTTGTTGATTTTCTTTTTTCTCTGATTGGGCAGTGGGTATTTTACTTGTCAACCAGTTTTCCATTGTTCCCCCAATCAGTGGGCCTCTGGCGCCCTGCGGAGCCCCACTGTTGCATCCTTTCCGAACCCCTAAGCTTCTAAGGCCTCCTCCCAAACTGAAGCCCTACCAGGGAGAAGTGCCCAAATCATGCCTGCGCCCAAGTTGCGCCAAAGGCACACCGGCATTGATATATGTGCATGCGCGCGTGTGTGTTTGGCATGTATGTGTGTACAAGCGCGCTCACACGCAGGAGTGTGGCAGGGGCGGGCTCTGCGCCCGGGGGCAGGGCTCAGTGCTGAGAGTGGCAGCAGGACTTACCAAGCCGCTAGGGGCAGGGCGCCGCAGTGCCGTACTAGCGGGCAGCCGCTGAGGACTGCTGCGGGGCCGCGGATAACGGAGCAGGCAGACGACCCTGGCATTGCCTAACCCCAGCAGGGCCGCCCGAGCTCCGCAGCGCCCACTCGGGCTGCCATCTCCTCCCTGAGCGGGCTGCGCGGGCGGGAAGACGCTCAGACGCCGGTTTCGGTCCCCTTTCTGTCTTTTGGTTCCTCTTTCCTCCCAAGTAAGGGAATAAGCCCTGAGGAAGGAGCGCTCCGGGAAACCGCGCAACCAAGTGTTGCCTGGCGAGAGGTAAGACAGTAGCTGGCGCAGCGGAGGCGGGCTCGGGCTGGGGGACGTGGGCCGCAGCAACTTGAAAAAGGAGGGCAAAGCCAGAGTCGGTCCCGTGGCCAGGGGAAGGACCTGCAGCGAAGGCCACTGCGCCCACCCTGAGGGTGCCACCTGCTTCAAAGTCCCTGCAGAAGGAGGCCCCCCGCTGGAAGGGTGAGGGCGCCGGGAGCGGCACGGGGCAGGGCGCCGGCTCCCTCCTGGGCTGGGAGAACCTTCCAAACCTCAAAGGTGTGCGGGCGGGAGGCGGCCTTGCTCCAGGCAGTTTGCGAAAGCAACTGGTCAGATTTCTCCCCTTCTGCACTTACCTTGCTCTTTGGTGTCCAGTTCGCGCTCCAAGGTGCACAAGGGCAGCTAGGGGCGGGGAACACCTACCGTTTGACCGTTTGACCGTTTGACCGCCGACGCTGTGGCGGTCCACGGGGTTTCAGGACTTGGGCACTCCGCAAAGCTCCTGGGCCAGGGGAGCTCAAAGGGAAGCTGCAGGGAACACGGATACCCTGACAAATATGAGCTTGGGAAGGGGAGAAGGGTCAGGGAGAGCGTGTAAAGCTGACCTGTTTAGTCTCCGGGTCACAAGATGTGTGTGTGTGTGTGGGGGGGGGGGGGTGTGTGTGTCTTGAGAGACGCACATCTAGTATCACCTGTGGGCTTTCGAAAACTCCACCAGTCCACCTGCAGATTCTGATATTTTCTTCCTCTGGAGGAGTGGGCTAGAATTTGGGGAGGGGGCCTGTGGAGTTGGAAAAGCCCTACAGGTGATTCTGATGCGCCGCCTCCATCCCCGCCATAATTGCTGTGGAAAGCAGGGGACCAGAACGGGGAGGCAGTACCCAGAGGCAAGCCTTCCAGCTGCAGAACCCAAAGTGGCGGACAAGACCCCTCCCCCGCCTCCCCACCCGGGAGGCCGGAGGGTCTGCTGCAGCGCGCGGGGTTTTGTGGCTGCGCCGCAGTGATGCGCGGGAGAACTGCGAACCCGTGGGCGCACTCCTAGCAGGCGCCACGCGGTTGTTTCCTCCGGCTTCATTAGCATACAATGACCTCCCTGTCCGGAAGACGACCTTGTCAATCTTTTATTTTGGGTGCTTGCGGGAGTGCACCTTGGCTCTGGAGGTGCAGCCCGGGGGCGGGGGGGCGGGGGGGGGGGG